TGAATAGACAGCCCACAGAATGGGAAAAAATATTTGCTCTCTACACATCTGATAAAGGGCTGATAACCAGAATCTATCTAGAACTCAAAAAAATCAACAAGATGGACAACACTTTTAAGAGCACTGATTTAGATCATTTCACTTATAACCAAATACCGTATAGAGGGATTAAGAAAATACCCAGGAATGTCACAAAATGACTTCTGTCCTTCCCTTGTTTACAAAAGAGGGTAATTGCCAAATACTTTCAACCAAAAGAAGATCTAAATAGAAGGGAACTCACCACTTTGCTTTTTTTGCTTTTTCTCACCCTGACTTTTTCCTCTATTTACAGACTACCCAGATCCTGTTTGGAATTATGACCTTTTCTTTTGGAGTCGTTTTCCTGTTCACTTTGGCAAAACCATATCCAAGGTTCCCCTTTATATTTCTTTCAGGATATCCATTCTGGGGCTCTGTTTTGGTGAGTATCGTCACTTGAGTTCAATTTGACTCCATGCCAGCCAGGATGTGAGGGGATTTTTTTGTTATGAATTAAGCTAGATCCAGTTGTATGAAATACTTTGAAAACTACAAAAAAGAAATTAACCTTATTGACATTATTTCCCCACTAATTCATCAAAATTCCTGATATTCCAGCATTGGGTCTTGAAGATCCTTTGGGAATATTCCTCTGGGTCTTGAGGTTGTTTATTTGTCCATTAATTCATTCAAAGTTAGTTACTATCTATTATAAGCCAGATACATAGAGCAAGGCAATGAGGATCCAAAGGTTAGTAACACATGAGCCCTTCCTTCAAAGAGGTATTTGCCTACACAAAGAGTGCAATGCGCACCACCCGAAGGATGGACATATTTGAAACTCGGACTTAGCGGGGGTGGGGGGGCAAGGGCAACATACATAAGGTAAACATCTGTACCCCCATAATATGCTGAAATAAAAAAAATAGTTAGAAAAAATAAAAAATAAAAAAAAAGGGGCTCTCAGTCCAACAGGAAAGAAAACGTGTGAACAGGTCATGTCAAGGCAGTGTTAGATGATATCACAGAGGTGCAGGAAGTGCTAATGTAACAGGGACCAAGGAGCACTTTACTCTTTTGAGAAATGGAGAAGCAGCAAGGGCTTCTCAGGTGTACCTTTTGAGCTGCACAGAGGCATTTATTTAACCACATTCAATAAACATTAATTTAGTACCTAATTTAGTGCCGGAGAAGAGGCAGGGAGTATGGATTCAGAAAAAAGGAAGTCCCTGGTCTCAAGGTCTCAGTTCAGTGAAGAGTCAATTACTACACAGTGTGATGAGGGATGGTAGAGGCCACAAAGGCTGCCTCCATAGGAAAGGCACCGACAAAACAGAAGGGACATTGCACAAAGACATTTCCAGCTTGACCGAGTTTTAAAGACTGAGTGGTTAATCAAGTGAGGACACACGCAGAGGATGGGAGTAGGGGATGCCTGGGTTCAAGGGGTAGGGGGGATGTCTTGTTGCATGCCAAGAAAGAAATATGAGCAAAAGGCTGGGGGTATGGGAGAGCATTTTCTATTCTGTGAACTATAAGAGTTCAGCATGGGGCGTGAGGGTGGAAGGATGAGGCTAGAGAAATACAAACAGGCTGGAAATTTAAACATGGATGTACTGTAATCAGATTTAAAATTTTCACTAGACAATGATGCTGCCATATTTTTGATTCATTTCCATGAAAATTCTTGGAGATTTTTAAGAACTACCAGCACATTAGCTGCAGCCCCTTCTTCCGTTTCCATCCAAGAGAACACAGTGGATTGCAATAGATGGAATCCAGACTCAACGGTTGTAAACTGATTTGACATGAGTGTGTCATGATATGAAAGCTGAATCCACAATAGCCATAAAAGCAAGACGGATGAGAAAACTGAAGCCCAGTATGATTTAAAACCTACTTAGGTTCAAATAAATAGCGAGAGCAGATTTCCAGTCCAGTGTTTTGTCCGCTATTCATTTGTGGGCAATCACACAAGGAAACGCACCCTGAGGGTGCATTGCTGCCTTGAGGGTTGTGTAAAACCTGGAAGGAGGGCATGTAAAAGAATGCCAAGAGGTCTATTCTGTGAGAAATCTTTAATGCCAGCCAACCACATCCACCATTAAGGTATTTATTCTTTTAACAGTTCATTAATTCTGGAGCCTTCATAATTATGCTGAAAAGAAAAACCACAGAAACTCTGGTGAGTTCTATTTCCACTTTATTAAAAATGTACAACTTTGAAATAATTCATCCTGGCCTTGAAAAATAAATTTGTAAAATCATTAGGCCACCATAATTTCATGAATTGTCAAGTGCTGATACCAATCGGTCCAGCATTTGCTTCCTGTTTTCATAGAGTAAACCATGAGTGCTAGAAGAGAGTTTTCTAGGCCACCAAGTTTAATTCTTATTTTATATATGAAGCCATTGAGGCATAGAGTAGTTAAATCACTTGTCCAAGTTCCCCGGGCAATTAACGGTAGAATGGGTCTCAGTATTCCAGTTATTCATTCATTCTTTCTGTAAGTATTTTTGATATTTACTGCATATGAGACACTTTGACAGACATTAGTTTGACTCACCTGAAAAGTGCACTGTAGATAACCTAATTAACCATAAGCAGAACCTCTAAATAAAGAACACAATGCTAATTAATGTAAAGTTGCGAGTCATAGATAAATTATAAGTAGGATATTTTTACTTTACTCAAAGAATCAAAGGCATGAAATATTAATATGCCAATAAATGATTTTCAGCAAAGGGTATCTGTTAGTTTGTCATTTTAGAAAGAAATAAAAATGGCAGAGGAATGCAATGTTTAGTTAAACACATGGATCTTAAAACAAAAATGCAAATAGACCATGACTTTTACCAGAGCATAAAAATGCAACATGGCTGCTTCCCCTGATACTTCCTTTGCCCCCTGTGCACCCTCCTCCCAAGTGAATGGGAGTTGAATTAGGCACAGAACGTGGGGGATGGAAAGGTTACTAAAAAGTCACTGGATCTTTTTATTCTATGGATGAGGGCCTGCAGTCCAAAGAAATGAAGCGACTCACATATGACCGCACAGCTGCCTCATGGCACTATGATGCTGTGACTAAGATCCTGCCCTCTTGTCTACTCACTCATTGCTTTGTCTATGGTACGGGCTGAGCATGAGTCATCCTGTTATGTTCTGATTCTATTTCAGATAATGATGAGCAGAATAATGAATTTCCTTAGTGCCCTGGGAGCAATAGCTGGAATCATTCTCCTCACATTTGGCTTCCTTCTAGATCAAAACTACATTTGTGGCTACTCTCCAGAAAATAGTCAGTGTGATGCTATTGCCGTCCTATTCGTGGTAAGTATGTTGCATTTTTAGAGTGAGAAGTAAACGGTTTAATCCAAATGACTTGTTAGCACCCAATCAGCACCATCCAGATGTTGTGGATATGCATGTATTTTCTTTTATTCACAAACATTTATGGAATCCATAATACTTAATAGACATTAAGCATTGTGGAATAGAAAAATAAACACATATAACTCTCACCTTTAGGAATCCACACATAAGTAGAAGAGATAAAACATGTACACAAATCAGTATAATAGAAATATAAAGTGATGATATACTAAAAGAAAAATACAAGTACAGCAGTATGGTCACACTTCATAGTCCTAGATGTATGTTAGAATCACTGCCGAGTGTTTTACGGTTTATTTGGTTTTAGTAGTTAGGCTGAACTTCTGATAAAGCATGGTAGATTTCTGCTCTTTCCAAAATATCATTAAAATTAGTGTAAACGAATATAAAAAGTTTGACTCCACATAGAGAGAAAAAAATAGTCAACATGACATCAAAAATTGCTGAGGAAACGGAAAACTAACCAGTTAATAGAAGCGAGATATTTCAGGCCCGGCACAGTGGCTCATGCCCATAATCTCAGCACTTTGGGAGGCTGAGGCAAGAGGGTTGCTTGAGGCCAGAAGTTTGAGACCAGCCTGGGCAACATAGTGAGACCCAGTCTCCAGAAAAAAAAAAAAATAGAAAAATTAGCCAGGTGTGGTGGTGCATACCTGTAGTACCACCTACTTGGGAGGCTGAGGCAGGGAGACTGCTTGAGCCCAGGAGTTTGAGGTTGCAGTGAGCTATGATAACACCACTGCACTCCAGCTGGGGCAACAGAGGCAAGACGTTATCTCAGAAAAAAAAGGTGAGATATTTCATATGACAGGTTCTATGAAATACTAAGCATTTGCATGTACCAGGTCCACAGAAAGCAGGGGTAAAGAGCAGAAAATAGGGATATTGGCTCTGATAATGGTGAATTGTGCTATTTGTATCAACCCTTCTCTTAAAACAAAGAAAAATGCTACCTTCAAAGACAAAACAAAACAAAACAACCTTAAAGGCATTCAAAAGCTGAAAAGTCAGCTTGAACTACTAGGTAATTTTTAGATGAAAGCTTGTAACCTGGAATTTGCTAAAGAGCACCACAGCTGCTTATGCCTTGAGGCCATTTGCCAGTGATGACCGCTTGAGATCTGATTCCCGGCTCGTGTAAAGTGAAAGAGAAAGAAGTCAAGGCCCAGAGTCCACGCAAGGTAGGAAGATGCAGAAGAGACCTTCTCCACATTAAACTAGGTTCTTGATAGGCTGCTACTCTCTTCAGGAAAGGACAAAAAGACACAAAAATTGCCCTGCCCCATAACAGCGAGAGACTTGCTGAACAAAGCAAAAAAAGAAAAAGTACTTGAGAAATTGTGGCTACAGATCAGACGCCCTGACAACTCCCTCTCACCCACCCCCTCTGGGATTTTAACCTTGGAAGGCGTAAACCAGATGAGCCAAGAACTGGGTGAGCCAAGAATTCTCAAGACCTGAATGTGGTCTTGATTTGGTGCCCCTAGCACCTGACCAAAGCAAAACCAAAGGCTACCTAAGGGAAGAAGATTCAATCGTCTCAAGAAACTCCTACCAAAATTTCCATTGAAAATTATCAACGAGCACTCAGGATGGGCATTAAAAGAAGTAAGACAATGTGAATTACAATTTATAGCAGAAACAGAACCTCTCAGATTTCTCATGCTGGAGATATTACA